TTTCTTCTAAATGGCTCTTTTGTTCTTGTCATTTCTGAAAGTACGGTCGTAAGAACTTCGTTTCTTCAAGGCTTCGTCAAGTATTGCCTCGGCTGAGGCATGTTTCATGACTTTTAGGGGAAGGGACTTGCCTCTCACGGGCTTGAAAACGCCGCACGATAGAGAACCAATCCCGATGGTTATAGTTACAAATTCGTCCATCTTCGCTTTCTTGGACTTGGAATTGAAGGTGGTTTGCCTCTCTTTCGACTTTTGGGATAAAAATTTCTTGAAAGAGGACACTTGACTAGCTGAAGACGAAGATGAACTTACACCGCACTTTGGGCAAAACTTGTGATCTGCTCTTCTCCAACCACCACAACTGTGACAAAACATGGCGGGCAACAGGATAGAGGACAAGTGCAAAGGGTCCTTGTGACCAGAGCTAGTCCCAGGTTCCGGTCGTTTTCAGCATCAGGGTTAGTTACCAGTACTTTGAAATTTTGTTGTGTTTCAATTAATTTTGTTGTGTTTTAGTTTGCGTTTGTGTATCAGAAAATTTTACTGTGTTTCGAAAAAGATTGTTGTGTATCAGGAAATTTCGTTGTGTTCTGAAAAAAATTGTGGTGTTCTCGAAAAGATTGTTGTGTTCTCTAAAAGATTGTTGTGTTCTCCAAAAGATTGTTGTGTTTCAGAAGAGAAATTGAGTTGTGTTTTGCCCCTATGGGCCACCGTACTATCAGTCTTATATTTAGTGTGCAGTGGCAAGCGGTCACTTACAACACCAAAAATGATATACAAAGTGGCGACGTTTTCTTGTTTCCCGAAGTATCAGGGCAGAGACATTAATAAATAATTCAATTTCCGAGAAGATAAACATTAAGGAAATTCATCGTTACGTAAGATTAAAATCTCACATTCTTTTCAATTGACATATCAATCCGCTTGTGATATCGCGAAATACGTACTACGTACGTATCTACCAAATAAGTAACTGGAAATCACTATCTGATGGAATTTCATTTAGAATTAATGAACTATAATCTCGATTTCTATTAAGTGATAGTTGATTCAGCCTTCGGCGTCATCAACAATCACCTCATAGGAATCTCAAGCTTACCAAACGTAATTGTGAAAGAGAATTTCAAAGGAAAAGTAAATGACTATAGATAAATAATTGGAACTCATTATGATTACCTGAAGGAATTTCAGTAAGAATCGCATAGCTCAGGGAATTTTCGCCCCCTGATTGGTTAAATTTCACTTGTATAACCCAGCAAATATTTTCTTCGCATGCGATTGGTCTACGTGGCCGAATACATACCCCAACTAATAAAACTTCCCCAGTCTCGCGTTGTGAAATGTTAAACTAAGGACATCACCGACACTATATACGCACGGCCGTGGGTAAATAACATGACGTGTCCCGTTTCCCCGGGGGGGGGGGGTGCTCCTTTATTTGGGCTATATAGGTATGTGCGACCCCAAAGGTTATGGTTTTTCAATAGGGTATCGATTTTGGTCATTTAATGGTCTCAAATAGGTTATGGTTTTTTTCACTCTACTCTTGAATTGGGTATGTTTTTTCAGAAGAAGCTACTTTTTCATCATATCAACAAGACCATCATCAAAAGCCCTTGATAAATTATGTTTAGGGCAACTGTGCCAGTCGCAACGGTCATAAATAAGGTGTTGAATTTTTGGTCAGGCCATAAATAGGGTGGGGTAAAAGCGCAGATTTTGGACATAAATAGGGTAAGGGTTTTGGGAAGCGGGAAGCACACCCCCACCCAATTTTTCAGGGAATAGCCCCCTTTGGGCCCTTGACTTTAACTGCAAAGCTAAGATGTTAACCAAAACGTGACTATTTTGACTTTGTCTCTATACATTTTCATTAATTCGATGAAGAGAATATTTCATTGACAATTTAAGGGACCAGGTGAAGCGTTCTCGCTCAGCTGTCGCTCACCTGGTTGTAGCATGTTTTTAACCAGCCCTTTCCCATTGTTTTCCTTCACCGTGCATTGCGAGAACTTTGTAGTCAATCACAAATAAAACATGTTTTAGCGCCCAAGTTGTTGTCGCTATGTGATATAAAGTTGATTCATACCTTAAGCTGTGCTTAAATCGAGCACGCTAAGCATGAACCAGTTTTTTAATAACGTCTATTTGACTTTGAAAATATGCTGAGATATTTGTCCGCGGGCATTAACTGTTCCGGGAAGCGAACAGTTTTCCGTGAGCGAAGCCAGGGCGAAGCTAAAGGAAATGGCTCGCTAGCTTGCGAACGAAGGCCTGAGACGTATTTCCCGCTATTGTCGGAGGCTAAACTGTTGGCTTCTCGGAGCATCTGAGCATATTGTTTAAGTCAAATGGTGGCTATTGTATCTGTGTTTGAACGTATATAGAAAATGAGTACACCAAAGTATCGATAAGTTTTGCACGTTTCGCCTGTCAAAGAAAGCTCTGTCGAAAACAAAACGATGGCTGAAAGCCGACAATATGAAGAAGAAAAAACCGGCAGCAAAAAACCGACTCATTATCGTTGCTGCTCAATTATATTTCAGTTGAAAATTAGACTTAGCACTACAGCAAACTTGTTACCTTACAACTGGGCCTTGTTCTTTAATACTTCTTTGGGTAACTGGTCGTTTCGCCAACGTGTCAGTTTGCCAATGTTAGGGCTGTAGTCGTAATGATGACAGCCGCGTAACAAGTAAAGTCTGGCTTCATTTGACTAATTGAACGAAGCGTATAATTTTCACTAACGCCACTATTTCGCATCTTCCCGTAAGCCTTTGGTTGTTTATCACATTTTTCCAAAACGAAGACAACTTTAAAGGTGATTATGCGAAGAATTTCTCGGAAGAAAACTCGTCTCGCTTTCCTGACATGCTTCATTCTTCACAAGGTAAACAACGCGCCAACGCGAGCCAAATTTTCCCGCCTTCCTTAGACCACGGGTTCGTTCAGAACAAACTGAAACGTACTCATTATGAAGAATCCATTCGCTCTTGTTGGATAAAACGAGGATACGAGGTTATTATTCGGCAATTAATTACAACAGACTCTGCGTTACGAGCCTCGCTTGCTGTTAAAAAAATATATATTTCACCTCGCATCCAACATGAACTACAGAACAAAATGACGGCATTTTGCCGCAGTCTTTGTTGGCAGCGGAAACATTTCCAACGTTAAAGGCCTGGTAACAAGATTATTTTCAATATGGCGGGCAGAAATGTGTCTTACTTGAAGCCAAAAACGCCTTCTTTTATTGCAAAATTCAAGGAAAAGGTTGGGTATCAAGAATCAGCCACAGTTGAAACAAAATTTGAAGAGGGTGAATCGTCTAAACTAGATGATAGAGAGCATGAAGACGAGAAACCCACGGTAGTATTGGGATGTAATGTTAGTGAAGCCGAGGCTGATGCTTTCATAACACGGTTAAAGGCAGAGGAAGACGCAAACGAAGAAGGTAATTTGTTGAAGACTTCTATGTACTTCATCCTTAAAGTTTTGAGACCTTAGTTATCCAGAGTAATTGTCAAGACGTTCTGTGGGATAATTGTACGTTACAGACCCTTAAGTTTAATGATATATTTGGANGGGGGGTGAGTGGTGGAGGCGAACTCTCAGATGAAAAGGTCAGGGGTGCCCATCGGAAAATTTGAGTTAAACCCCTACAGGAGACCATTCTGGGCATGGCTCGAGCTTTATTTGACCTGTAAAAGGTGCCGCTTAAAATGGAAAAGGCATGATTTCCAGCCGCTGTCCAGGAAAAGAGCCCCTACCAGTAGACCAGACTCGAGATACTGGCAGAAATTGAGCCAAAAAACAAAAATAAGAACATTCTCATTATCATTGTTTCTTTGAGTGCACCCCAAAAAGATACTTTGACAGCTGAAAATAGTGGCGTTTCGTCATGAACACCCTTAACCAGAATCCTTGATTTATACCCCTAAGTGAGACGACAAGCATCCCCCAACTTTTCATATGGGAGTTCCCCCCACTGGGGGGTGGGAGGGGGGCTGGCTAGACAACTTGGCCGTGCCATCTTCAGAATAACCGTCAAACCTTTTATTAGCAGTGGACCTTTTAAAACCCACTTTCAGTGTTACGTGCATAGGTGACATCTTTCGACATGTCATCTTTCTATGTAACTTGGCCAATGTCAAAAATGTAAGCACAACTGACTTCTTTATGGTGAAATTTGAATTTTACTGATGAAAGATGGATTTATTTGACATCAAAGTAAGGTTAGCAGTATCAAGAAGTCATTCCAGGAGAAATAAATCAACGGTTTTGAATGTTTACACCTTGCAAATATTAAAAGCGGTATTGGCCCAGTTCTACCAGAAGTCAGTATTGAGAGCAGATCAACCACATTAAAATCGTTTGAATTATCTGATAAACCGGGAAACATGCAAAGTCGGCAATATTCTTCAGCCATTTGAGTTCAGTAAGTATTGTTTATTTGTCATTTCTTCTGCTAATAATTGCAAAAATTCCTAGTTTCATAGTTAAATGGTCTTTCAGCCATTTTCATAGCATGTCAAAAGATAGTCGAATGATGTCGCCTATACACATAGCACTGAAAGTGGGTGTAATATCCAGCAATCAGTTGGCCTTGATCCTGGAAATTTACTTATAAGTGGTTGACTCAGATAAAACAAACAAACAAACAAACAGGACCTGGCCCATTGTCAACTTTTGGCTGACAGAAAACCATTCTCAGTATTTTTCTTGGCATGCCATATAACCTGGCCTACCATAAAATCCCATGTNCCCCCCCCCCGATATAAGCCCTTCTATTTGCTAACAAAGATATTCCAGATATAAGCCCGTCTAATGTGTAAGTGCGTTCCTTTTGCCCTTCATCATCATCATCATCATCATCTTTATTTAAAAACATGGTAAATACATCAGGCATTAACAATTTAATAGATAAGCTACAACTTATTATGAAAGACTATGTATACAGATTAATCTTCTATAATTTAAAATATTGCTAGCTATTAAAGAAAAGTAAACTAAATTAAAGCCTGTTTTTCATGAATGCTGTGTCGGAATTAATTAACAATCATTGGAAATTAGTCAGAGATGTTGCTTACCTAGCAGTTGAGGGTAGACTGTTTCAGAGGACTGCACCACTATAGCCAAAGCTATTTTTGTCATGGCTAGTACATGGCAAGGGAATAGCAAGCTTATTATCAGAATTGCGCAAATGGTAAGAAGAAATCACATCACTCCACTGAATGAATTTCGAGGACAAATAATTGGGTGCGAGGCCACTTAAGGACTTATAGACCATCTCAACCTTTAGTTTTTGATGTTGAGTTTCTAAATTGTCCCAGCCTAATTCTTTAAATAGTTAGTTGACGTCAGCATCATAACAGTTACCCCAAACAACAGTACAATAGTCGAAGTGCGATTGAACTAACCCGTGATAGATGTTATGTAGAGTTGCAGGAGGAACACAGTGACTTATTCATTTAATAGATCCAATACCAGAAGAGATTTTTTTAGATATAGCATTGATATGATTACTCCATGTTAAATTTTCGTCAATTAATACACCAAGAGACTTGGTAAAATTGACTCTGTTTAATTGTGTACCATTAATTTCCAAGTCTGGGAGAATGGATAGACTGTTCAATTTATGTCTTGATCCAATTAACATAAATTCAGTTTCTGTCATGTTAAGAGTCAATTTATTGGCAATGAACCAATGGTTTATATTTGACAAGTCCTGTTTTAAAGAAGCCTCAATGGAGCAGATGTCGTTGTCAGCATATGTTAGTTTGACGTTTCTTTACAAACATCAAAATTTTTAATCGAAAGTTATAGGCTAATAGGCTAATAGGGTAATAATGCGGTAATAGCGCTAAATGTAATGGTATGTTAGCTTTAATTTGTTTCTCAGATATGTTTTATCTCGTCGTTCTGAAACTTTTTATTCTACTTATATGCCCCCCCCCCCCCCCCCCCCCTCCCCTTCCCAGATGTAAGCCCCCCTGTTTATAAGCCCACCCAAAACCAAATGAAGTTATATAAGCCCAGGGCTTTAACATGGGATTTTACAGTATATGCCCGGCCTATATCAATAATGTAAGCACAACAGATTTCTTTACAGTCCAACATGAATTTAACATCAAACTGAGGTTCCAGAAGTAACAAGAAGTCATTCTGTGAGAGATAAATCAAAGTGCTTTCAATGTTTACACCTTGCAAATCAAGTCGTAGTGGCCCAGTTCAGCTGGAAGTCACTTTTTAGGGCTGATCAACTACACTTTATTTGAATTATCCTGTTAATCAGGAAACACGTAAGGTCCACAATCTTCTTCAGCGAATTGAGTTCAGAAGTTATCATTTATTTGTCATTTCTTCCACTAATAATTGGACAACTTGCCAGTTTCATAGTTTAAAAGGGTCCTCCAGCCAGTTACAACAATCTATGTCAAAAGATGACATGTCAAAGATGATCGCTATTCTCTATTATGCTTATAACACTGAATTGCAGGTGTAATTTTGCTATCTGATTGTTGCATATCAACTCAAGAGCACAATTCATAGTAAGGGCATTCAAACCATGAACACTTGACATTTTTTGTATATTTTTTTTGGTGACCATAGAATTGAGGCTTTTGATATAATGTATAAGACTAGCATTTTTACAGTATAAAAATACAAAATACTCTTGTTAACAAGAAGAACCCTTATTCAATAATTAATAGAAAATGTACTAAAATTGTGTTCACACTTTCAGTGACCTCACTGTACCTTAACTGTACCTTAGACTGGGGTTTCTCTCTGAGTATAAAGGTTGAATACTGTTAGTTGAATCTGAAAGTAAAGGGGGGGAAAATCATGTTGTTTTTCTTTGTGTTTAACAGAGGAGAAGAGAAAAGATGCAGGGAGAAAAGACAGCACTGAAGACGCAGGCAAAATTGTTTTTAAGAAGCCATCTAAGAGGAAATCAGATGACAGTGAAAAGGACTTAAATTCTAACGCAGATGATAGAAAGAAATCCAAACCTACAAGTACTATGAAAAGTGTCAAGAATAAGAGCCTGCTATCATTTGATGAAGAAGAGGATGAAGACTAACAAAACTAAAACGCTGTATAGTAAAAAGGTGAAAATTGCTGATGTAGTAACATTTGACAGTAGCTGCACAAAAAGACAGAGACGATATAAGACTTGCCCAGGGCAAGCAAAATTTGAGTGCTACTTGTCCAAAGGGCAAGCTGGATTTCATGTCTTTTTCAAGCCTTTCAATCAAAAATTATTAGTTAATTATTTTTCCGCCCAATCAGCATTTAACAAGTGCATATGGACTGAACAGAATGCTCTCGTGGTAGGTCTAGTTTCTTAATTTGTGTTGGACATTGCCATGACAGAAAGATGTCATTGTCTCACACACAATACTACATCCCGGTTTACGTGATGTTGTTGCAGGATATTTTTCTTATCAAAGTCCTGTTAGCTAACTTCAATCATAAGTTTGACTGTATTATTCATACACAGTAAACAAAGAGTAACAAAACAGTAACAAAGAGCTTTCGAAATGTAACTGCCGACATCACTCATACAATAGCTTGTGCAACTTTTTCGAGCCATTTGGTTCCACCTTACTATATCAAGTAAAAGATCTTTGCATCTTTACAGGTGTAAAAAATGACACATTTCCTCTAAAACAAGAGAGTTTGTCTTTTGTCTTTTGTCCTAAACAGGGTCTTCAAGTATAGGCCATGGTTCTTACTTTGGTGAGATTACACAAGTTTGCCAAAAAATTGGTCGATATCAAGTCAGTAACATGAAGGCCGATATCAAGTCAGTGACTTGACATGGCAGGAAATACGGAAAGTAAAGGAGACTTGGTTAGTTGGTAATACTAGACTGCACTATAGTATACTGTACAAGGCAGGGAAAAGAGAGAGAGCCTGGCATCGAGTTTGGTTTCATCCCTAATGAGGACAAACCAAGTGCTTTTACTCGCCTTGATGTTAGCTACAAAAGAGAGTGTAACAGCTTCTTGCGAGACTAAAAACTAAGTTTCTGGTAGGATGAAAATTTGGAAAACAATTTAGAGGTTTAATTACTTTAAAACATTTAAAATCAATTGTAGCAAATCACGTGATGTGTTTCTGTCAAACCATCCTCAAGCAAACACTCAGCTACATTGCAATCAAGGGTGCTTTCTTTATATAAGTAAATTGTTTAGTGAAAAAGTATTTTAACATAAAAGATTTCATGTTCACAAAGTTAAAAGCCCTGAGCTCGCTATTTTCGATTTTATTCGCCCTCAGGACAGGTTACTTTCGAAAGTTAAAAGCCCTGAGCTTGCGAGTTTTTATTTTGGTCGCCCTTAGGGGCCGTTACTTTCGAAAGACAGTAAAAACCTGGTAAAGAAAGGCACAAATCTCGGTTACAAAATCAAAACACTTAATATTACAAACCGTACATAGAACTGATAGGATCTCAAAGAAAGGAACCAAATCATTGTTGTTCTGTCTTCAACGAAAAAAAAATGAAAGCATTTTAAAAATGAAAGCTCGGCCCAGTCTGTTCACAGACACTCTATTTTGCTTTGAGTTCGTCGAGGTCGTAAGTAAAAGTATTAACCGCAGGAATCTGCATTAAAAGCCCGAACGCAAGGAGGTGCCCCTGGGGAAAGAAAACAATAGAGGGTCTGTGGACTTCTTTTGAGAAACTGAATTCCTCGTTTCTCCAGAAACGGAAAATTCCCATTGGCATTATGGAAATTAACATGCCATCAGCTTATCAAAGATCCATCACGCTCTCGAAGAAAAATAACTCGTAGCAATAGAAATAAACGCTGTGGACAGACTAAGCTTGGCTTTAATCGGGGCTTTTTTAAAAGATTATTTCTACCTTTCCTTCTGGTAAGGTTATTATTTCTTTATAATATTAAGCTGAAAACCTGGTTTACATCATTTTGAAATGAATAAAGTCCCCTTTCATTGTCCGATTTTATTGCAAAAAAAGTCACGCCCTTATGCTTCCACGACGGCACTGGAATCTCATGTAAAAGGAATTTTACAAGTTTGTTGATTAACGTTAGCTTCCGCAAAGAGCTCATGTACAACCGATAAAAGATTGCCACTGAGAAAAACTGCTATTGGCACTGCGTTCACAATGGCGACTAAGATATGCCTCTTCCACTGTCTTCGCCAAACGGCCATGACAGACATATTCTGATAGCGAGTCTCTATCGCAAGAGACGCGCTGTTGAAAAACCACTCAATTAAAAGCGGGACTGAAGTATGAATAGCAAAAGAATGCACCAAGTTTACGAATGAACTGTTCTCGAGATAAGTCCATTGATACAGGTATAAAACACCGTTAACAGATATTATAGCCGCGGACTCGGACAACATGCTCAGAATAGCGATATCAGCCATTAGTCTCTCACGGCGAGGAGTACGAAAACTTCCCCAAGGAGCTGACTTCCTATGCCAAAGCAGATGACAAATGTGATCTATCACAACCATGGTACTACGTTCTATGACCTCTGCAGCGCCGTGAATTATTCCAAGAACAACGATTGAATGCAAACTTCCAAGATCCGCTTGTAAAACTCGAAAAACAACCGCTGACCCATAATATAGCGGTGCCAATAAGACATAGGAATAACCAGGATGAGTAATGTTCCATAACCGCTGAGCGCAAATTCGCGACGCTAGTTTAAGCAAAACTCCTGTTAGAGGCGCAAACAGAGCGATAATAAGTTTACCTTCTTTGCTTCGTTTGATATACGCTGGATAAATAAAATGAGTGAAAATAAGGGCTAGAATGAATGTTAGATAACCTGACGCTGACAATTGGAGGAACAAAAATATTTTCCGTTTTACTAACCGTGTACAGAATTGTTTTGTTAAAATATAGACTTGAAAACCGAAGCTGGCAAGAAAGAGAACGTTTGTTGGAATCTTTTGCAATACGGAAAGTTTGGAGTAAGATATCCCCAGGGCCTGAACCGTTACACGATATCCTGCGTCTAAACAGTAGAAAAGGCAGTAAGAAAGAAACAGCTTCATCTTCAGCCCTTTCAACTGATACATGCGAAAAAGGAGCAGCGCAGTCGCAAAGAACCAGTTGTAGAGAACAATGTAAGCTATTACAGTCGAGAGAGTTCTCATCCACTGCACTCGCTCTGGGATTAATGTCCGGTTTGGCGGAGAAAATTCGCAAAGGTTGACAGTTTTATAACATAGGTAGGAGACCAGCATGTATATTGTGCCTGTAATGATAGCAGACAGCAGTGAAATCAAACCTCCAAAGTACATTGATTTGCAAACTGTGCAGCAAACGGAAGGTCGAAGTCGCTTCCAAGCTGTTCCTCGATCAACTTCCTCACGGTCTGCCGTTGCTTCGTTCTCCACTACTGAACACGCATTTGTAACCCGCACATCAAGACTGCTTGCCGCTAAATAACATGTGTTAGTGATTTCTCTGTCGCTGTATTCCTTGTAAATAAACTCATCAACAGGGTGATGATACCACTCTAGACCCGTGCTCTCTAAAGGGCTGTATCCAAAAGATTCAGCCGTATATTCGGGCTCTTCTGGATTATAATGGTCTGTCACACTTCGCGTAAAACTGAACATAACATGTCCAAGAACCTCGAGAAAAGTACGGCTAGCCATTTCACTTGCTCTTCAAATGAATCCAACAACTGTATTCAGCAGTGATTTAAAGAACGTCAGTAGAGACTGCTGGCAACTGAAATCTCGTCACAGATGGGAAAAATGAAAACACCTCCTTGTTTCGGAGAATTTATTCGTAACCGGACCACCTCGAGCGTATAGGAACCATTAGAAACCAAAATATCTCGTTAAGTAATCGACTTACTGACTGCTAGGGATATATTGTCTTAACTATTTAGAAACTATGTTATCACAATGTTCTTCAGAAATAGATAAGACTGATTTCAGTAAAACTCGACTCGCAAAATAATTCACATCAAGGGCATTTTGAATCTTCACTTCTCTTTCGAGTTTAATTGGGTTTGGTTCCTATTGTTTTGTCGACGTCAAAACCGAAAGGTTTAACTGAAGTTTCTAGCCATTGAAAGCTTTCTGAAAAGTCATCGCACAACAAAGTTATTAGCTGTCAACCAGTCACTGCATTAGCCAATCAGAAATCGAAACAAAAAATCTCGTCATGTTTGAAATGGGAAACAATGTGGATGGTATCCTGTGGATACACTTTGTATTTGTTCAGCTCTGTAAATTTGTGGTTTCTAAGGGCCGATTTACACGGTACGACTTTGACGCATGCGACAAGCTTACGACAGGCCTACGACATGACTTAGGACCATTTACATGCGCACGACATTATCAATTACAAAATTAAATATGCAAAAGTTTGCACCGGGATATACGGAGCGAAAGTTCTAACAAACGGTGAACAAATATTTGAGCTGTCCTGCGCTTTGAAAAAACTCTCTAACGAGATGTTTTTCGCTTTAATCCGTTCAGTACTTTTCGANACGGAGCGAAAGTTCTAACAAACGGTGAACAAATATTTGAGCTGTCCTGCGCTTTGAAAAAACTCTCTAACGAGATGTTTTTCGCTTTAATCCGTTCAGTACTTTTCGAGAAAAGACTTCATGTGAATCAGTCGACAACAACTTCGTCCGCCATTTTGACGAAAGAAAACTTCTCCTTCGTCCCCTACTCAGTAGAAATTTGTCGCAACACGTGATTTTCTATCGATTTCGGCTACGATTGTCGCAGCGTTTTAAAACATGTTTTAAAATCCTACGACAATTTTTTTGACGTACACAACAGTCGTAAGCGAGTTGTAGGTTTGATTTTTTCGAGACAATTCATGTCGTAGGTCTGTCGTAAACTTGTCGCATGCGACAAAGTCGTACCATGTGAATCGGCCCCGTAACAGAACCATAATCACGGCACTACAAGTCCTGGTTGATCATTTATGATCAAGTTTTTTGTTTTCACCCTTGTTTTAGCGATATTCTTGCAAGATTTTACACAGCACACTCAATAAATGTTTACTCTATTCTGAATGGTGGAGAGCAGTACAATTAACGGTGCTTATTTTAAGGTGGCTCAAAACAGTTTCCAGTGCATAGATTCAGATGGGTCGTTATACCCACTCTTTGTCACTTTAGGAGCTTATAATTCAAAAACGGCACGGTGAAATTTTATTATATCATCAAATTTTGATAAGCATGATAAGACACAACTTTTAGCAAAGTTTGACAAATTTCTGTACATAGGGTTCAGAGCCACCTTAAACTTTCAAAACTTTAAGGTGGCTCTGCACTTTATGACCAGATTTTTTTCAAAATTTGCTAAAAGCTGCGTCTTGTCATACTTATCAAAAGTTGATAATATAAAAAAATTTCACCGCGCCGTTTTTGAGTTATAGCCCCTCAAGCTTTAATTAAGGGTGTTTTCAGCGGGTCACACTGTTGCTATAGTAACCTATTGTATCACAAAAATGATAACAACGTGTTTACCAATGATTGGGCAGTTTTTTGATACCATAATTGTAACATCAAGTGATAAAGAGTGGTTATTATTATATGGAGAAGAGTGTTTTACTGGGAACTAAACCACTCGTAGATTCCATACGCCACTTCATCCGGGACCCGAGTGGCGTATTTTCCGTATGTCACCTTTTTGAGTGTCGTATCGTTCAATGACGTCACGATTCCCGCCTTTTGCTTTTGCTGAAAAATAAAAAGTTTTTTAACTTATGGCTGAGCTAAATTAATGGAAGAAATTTTGTAAGGACTGTCACTTTCCAATGCGCTCACTGGTGGTCGCAATAGGCCATTTTACAGTTTGCGCTTTGTTAGCTGGGGCCCGTTTATCGAAAGCCCCGGAACCTTTTCGGGCCCGAAAAGCCATTTTTAGTTAATCGGTATTTAAAGACAGGCAGGTGTATACAACTGAAAGTTCTTGTATGAAGAGAACCTCTGTTCGTATGAAGAACATGTGAATAAAACAGCGCTGAAGTCATAAAGTTTGAGATTTTGCTACGGCTTTTCGGGTGCGAAAACTTTTCGGGACCTTCGAGAAACGGACCCCTGGCCTATGAAAACAAGCGAGGCTGGAGGTGACCTTGCTTTGATACAGACCTCTCTGCTTTTCTCATTTAAATGTCAATTAATTAGCTTAAGAACAACTTGATTTACACAAGAAAAATAGTGAGGTCTGTATCAAAACAAAGTCACCTGCAGCCTCGCTGCCATTCAAAAGCCAGGTCACTAAGCAGAGAACTGTAAAAGAGTCTATTATTACTGATAACAATTTACAATGCAATGTAGAGTTTCTGGACTGATAATGTAATGGGAAAAAGAATGAAAATGCTTTTTCTTTGTATTGTTTTGCCTTTCGTTTTGTTTTTTCTTTTTTCAGGGTACGAATCTAAAAACTTTACAAAAAACTTTTGAGTGAAGTATCGTTTTGGTACGTTTTGTTTCACGGCTTGAGGTTTGAAAACTTAACGAAGACGACTTCAGTTCGCAGTTTTGTTATCTCTTCTCGATCCAGAAAGTTCAACCTCTTTTATCTGAGATGTTAGTCAACTACTTGGCCATAACATAATTCCCCAATTCGCCCCAAGCAAGTTCAATAAATTATTTAATGTAATATAATAGATCTTTGAAAACTCCGCTGCATGATAAATTAATGCGTCTTTGTGATCAACCATCTCAGTGAAAAGTTTGAAGAATTTAGTTTCGTTTAATTTTGTTCTCCATTTCTAAAAATGACAATCTTTAATTATTTCCACATATATCATATCTAAAATCTTATCCATTATTAATTAAACTATCGTTTAATTAGTTTCCAAGATCCTCTC